AGGGTGGGGCCCAAAGGAGTCAGTGTGCTAAAATTTCTTCATTTTCCTTGTTTAGAATCAGAGGTGCTAGTTTCAAATACTTTTTAGTCTTAAATCTGTATGCTAGATATTGAATAAGGTGGTTTTATTGTTTTTTGTCACTGAATAATATTTCTGTTTGTGTTAAAAACAAAATCAACTCTCTGTATAAATATATCAGGTGACCGTTAAGGCTCATGGGCCTCTTTTTATTTAAAGGTTTATTTTTATGAAAAAAGTAATAAACAATGTTTATTTAGCTTACTTAGCTGGCTAAAATTAAATTTCTTAAAAAATCATTTCAAATAAACTATTTCAAATGATCATTGACTTATGATGACATTATCGTCAGAAAAAAATCAAGTTACTATTTCCACAATTTATCATAAACCATTATATATAATTATGGCCTATAAGATCGTCACAAAATCTTATTAGACCTGGTACATATGAAGGATTCATAATTAAGGTCTAATAAACATGTTTAAAGTAATATAAATTAAGGTATTGACTTAGCACAAATTGCTATAACCGTGTTGTTAACGGGAGGCAGGGGGCCGGGGCTAAAAACCAAGTCGCTACCAACTTCAATTCTATTGGTGGGACGACTATTCCATATAGCATGCTGCCACCTCATACTGGCCAAACTTTTAAATTTTCTGGTTGGAGAGGCATGCTTGGGAATTTAAATGTCTATCAACTACTTATTATGATCCGTAATTGACAGTGTAAACTTTGAATTCAACTTTAACAGAAATCAAAGTAGAGTATAGGGAATTCTACTCAAAAATGATCCTTTCCTTAAAACAGCCCCTTCCTTTTCTCTAGACTTAAAACAGCCCCTCCCTTTTCTCTAGACTTAAAACAGCCCCTCCCTATTCTCTTTCCTTACAACAGCCCCTCCCTTTTCTCTAGACTTAAAACAGCCCCTCCCTTTTATCTAGACTTAAAACAGCCCCTCCCTTTTCTCTAGACTTAAGTGTGAGCAATATGAGTAAAGTACTATACAAAATAATCCCGGTTTTCTTTTCGCCTGCTTACTTGGAAAGTAGTATTCTATTAAATGTTCTCTTTTGAAAACTTGCTGAGCCCTGGAGGCATTATACGGCTTTAAACCCGGCTGGTTTTGTTGTTTAGATACCATGCTCATGATTTTGGTTGTTTTGTAGTGCAATATGTTTGGTCAACTGAATGTTATCCAAGCATCTGCAATTTTTGTCTTCCACGCCATCGGCTGTTGTTTATTGTCATTTAGTGATATGTCATATTGACCCAATTATGTGACAGACCAAGCCTCAATTTGATTTGTAAATGTACGGGGTCATAGACACAAGCTAGAGGCCTGTTTGTGTAAGTATAGGGGTCGTAGTATATCTATAGTATGACCCCTGTACTGACACGCGTAAGTATAGGGGTTGTAGTATATCTATAGTATGTCCCCTGTACTGACACGTGTAAGTATAGGGGTCGTATTATAGATATAGTATGGCCCCTGTACTGACACGTGTAAGTATAGGGGTCCTAGTATATCTATAGTATGACCCCTGTACTGACACGTGTAAGTATAGTGGTTGTAGTATATCTATAGTATGACCCCTGTACTGACACGTGTAAGTATGGGGGTCGTAGTATAGATATAGTATGGCCCCTGTACTGACACGTGTAAGTATAGGGGGCGTAGTATATCTATAGTATGAGCCCTGTACTGACACGTGTAAGTATAGGGGTTGTAGTACATCTATAGTATGACCCCTGTACTGACACGTGTAAGTATAGTGGTTGTAGTATATCTATAGTATGACCCCTGTACTGACTCGTGTAAGTATAGGGGTCGTAGTATATCTATAGTATGACCCCTGTGCTGACTCGTGTAAGTATAGGGGTCGTAGTATATCTATAGTATGACCCCTGTGTCTCGTGTATCTTGCCCCTGTATATATGCTGTCTTGCTGTCATTGTTTTAGTGTGTGCCATACTTAAACCATGCATAATATGTTTATCATGCTGACTATTGTTGTTCTCTTTATTCCATTATTATGTTAAACTATTCATTAGTAGTTTGTTGCTTGGATTTGTAAAAACCGTTTTGTTCTACCACACATTGGTACTTGATGAAGATAGCGTGTATCTTTTTAAAAGCTAAAATCCATATTTATGGCTGAAAAATGTAGTCCATTCACATTTGGTGTCTGTACCTGTTTGACGTGACCTTTGACCTGTCTGACATGAACCGTGACCTGTCTGACATGACCTGTGACCTGTCTTGATGTGACATGTGACCTGTCTGATGTGATCTGTGACCTGTCTGTATGACCCCTGTGCTGACTCTATGTGACCTGTGACCTGTCCTATGTGACCTGTGACCTGTTTGAAGTGATCGGTGACCTGTCTGTGGGTGACCTGTGACCTGTTTGATGTGACCTGTCTGACATGACCTGTTACCTGTCCTATGTGACCTGTGACCTGTCCTATGTGACCTGTGACCTGTTTGAAGTGATCGGTGACCTGTCTGTGGGTGACCTGTCAATGTCAGTATAGGCTTATTACATTTCACTGGTGAAATACTGTTTTAAAAAAAATAATTACTCTAGTTTAAATTGGTTGAACATCAGTGTTAGGGTTATTTTATCTCATTATGTTAAAGCTGACAGTGCCAGTAAAACAGCTTTCTATTGAGATTAAAATCATAAATAAAACATAAATAAAACATAAATAAATCATAAATAAAACATAAATAAATCTGGTTTTGCGATCTTCCCCATCTCTTCCGACTATAGTTCTAAGGAAGTGCCGACATTTGAGTTTGTTTTTGCTTCGTAACGAGTATGGGTCTCGCTGGGTATAAAACATGCATTACCTGTCAAATCATTCTACAACTGACCGTCTTGCGATTCAATGCACCGCGCACCCTGATCGGTAACCGATATCAAAAATCAAACGCACTCACCTGAAGACTTTGAAACACGGCCAAGCTGGTTATTACTTATGGCACATTATTCAAAATTGTGTATCCAAAATAAAAGGTATATTACTGAAAATACTATAAATCCCATATATCTCATCGGTCTTTCACGTGCATACTTACTGCACCAACACACGAAAACTTTATTATGAACTTGTAGTCTTTGTCGTGTAGAGGCTTTACTAGAAAAACGTGTTCTTTAGATATTTAAATTGGTCGTATTTTACTACTATTTCCACTTTTTCTTAGATAAATGCTAGTAGTACATTGCGCACGTATTGACCAAATGATAACCGGTTTGACGTTTGCACGTTTTATAACCAGCGAGACCCATACTCGTTACCAAGCAAAGGACAAACTAAAATGTCGGCACTTCCTTAGAAACGATAGTTAGAAGAGATGGGGAATATCTCAAAAACCAGAAAAATAAACTTTAAAAAAAAAATCTCAATTGAAAGCTTTTTAACTTGCAGTCTGCTTTAACTGACCACATTAGAGTGTATGTTATTATCGGAATGGGAGCCCTAGTTATAGGAGACACTGATGTCCTACAACTGTTTCTGGTGTCAAAGGAAACAACACGGGCTCAAACATTTATAGGAGCATGTGATTAGATGCATTTTCAGATGTGAGGATTTTCTTCCTTTTGTTTATAAATTCATTTAAACTTATCAAGGAGGGGGAAAAATCTGTCATTCAGATCATTACAATAGACATTTACACGTTACATTTACTCAGTCCATTGTTACACAAACATCATCATTGTGTATTTCACCAAGGTAAAGATTCCTTTTACCAATGTTGTATAATAATGTGTTTTACTGAAATAAATTTCATCTAATTGTAGAGATCTGATAAAGCCTTGTTGTCTTGTGTTGGTATTAGGATCATCATGGCCTTTTGTGTCAGTTATAACTGGGACAAGGACGTCAATCCCCATTAATCATTCAATCAATCATTACCTTTTGTCTTGGTTGTAACCAACACAAGGAAGTTCTGACAGTCTGTTGTCCTCTCAGAACCAGCGTACTGACTGTCTGTTGTCGTCTCAGAACCAGCGTACTGACAGTCTGTTGTCCTCTAAGAGCCAGCATACTGACAGTC